TTTATACCCGTACGTCAAGCAAGCGAACCGATATTATGATGTTGCGAAAAAATGTAAATACTCCACTATAACGATCAGAAGGAAACGGGCTGGCTAGCACGCGCGACTGACGACATATTTTCCAAGCGATCTGCCAAACAGGTTTGATTCGCGAGTTGGACGCAAGGCGCATAGGGAGGTGCATGTTACTGCGTGAACGTCGACAAGCTCTTAGTCTTGCCACACAACATTATGTGCCACTTTCGATCGTTCTAAGCATTCAATCATTTAATACAGAAAAAGATTCTTAATCTTCTCTTTTTTTACGTAAAATAGCGACGATGGATGACTTAAAATTGACACGGTAAAATAACATTACAAACGCTATCAAGAAAAACATTGCACTGCCACGCTTATTACACTTTTGATTTGATTATATGTCAATCAAAAATTGGCTTTGTTAATAAATCTTAACTTATTCAAACTTTATGGAATTTCGACAATTAGGGGACCGCAAGTATGAATAAATTAACAACTTGTAACTAAATATAAGCGCACGGTATCTATGAGATAAACTGGTATTATCAAACTAATCAAATCTTAGAGATAATTAAGGCTGTACATGAAGAGAAAAACAAAAAGAAAAAATCAACGTGCCAGTAAATAAGTGGGGTAGAGAAAGAAGATGGCGTAATCCGCACAACGGAAATTCAAAAGCCATTTATATTTTAATTACTCGCAAACTATTATCCCAACCGTCGCCTACAAAATGCAAGTACTTATAATTATTTTATATTACAAAAAGAAATGTACTAAATGATACAAAACTTTGTAATTTATTTTTGTCTATTTTTTATATTTTCGTTTTGACACAATCGGTACGGTTTTATATACCTTTAATATCTATATGGTTTTCTTAATTTTAGCTTATTTGAACTTCATTTCCCTATTCAAAATCAATTGCAAATGATGTCGTGGTAGGCGCCCTATTAATATAGAAATGCTAATTTACACGAGTAGGATTTTTCTATTCTGTGGTAAATACCTATATTCAAGGGGAGGGTAGAGAAGAGACACAGTAATCTTTCGGACATTTTTATTTTCCTCAAAAAAAACTAGTAATTTATCTTCGTATTAGTTTAAACGTAAAAGTATGAAACAACAAGAAACCTGTTATTATTAGTAATTAATGTTCTAATTCAATTGGAGTGATTTCTCAGTCTCGTAAGAACATGTCATGTGCTCTTTAAACCAAAAGATGCGAATATAATATTGAACGTTAGTCCGAAATACTCAGCAGTTTTTCCGAATGCCTATTGTGGCAACTGGCAACCCTGTGTTATGCACGTATGTATGACTTGTGTTATTTTCTAAGGCTAAGAGTATACATGAAGTAAACTGCGTTGCCGAGTTCGCAACAAGCTGCATCGGTCTCATTATGAACACATTACCTTTAAATAGAACTGGTTTTATGAACTATCGTCGGTCATAATGTAAGTTAACAAATTATAGATACACACACAATTACAAATATTTGAATCAATACAAAAAAATCAATAATCATATATTTGTACTCTACCTCCTTAGAATTTGTATATAATTTTCACTATACAAATTTTATTTCCGCAAATATATAAAATACACATATAATCTTTTCGTATCCTTGTAGAAGATAATGCTTTTTATACACCGCAATGTCATCTGATCATTCTCGTTGTTTATGATGTACGAAATCACGTGATTCACTACTTTTTAACAATTTAGGGATCTATAATTTTAGGAACCAAGACACTTAATTTTACACTGGAAAAAAAAATAGTATCTAATATTATTGTAAGGTAATTCAGCAAAATAAAGGTGTAGCTCTCGAAAAGAAACCACGTAAACCAATAAAAAGTCCAAAATTGACTCTGACAAATGAGAACGCACAATTTCTTACGTTTCCAAAGTATTATTAAGATTAAATTTAATTGTTACTTTGAATCAGGAAATTACTTCGGTACAATAGAATTTGTCCGCAACTGAATAGATGTAAGTGTATGCGTTACAGAAATAGCCGATGTGCATGTTCGAATATATCTGCTTTTTACGACTCTACGCTCTACTCTTACGCAGGGTTACCACTGGCCACTCAATAGAACACATAGCAAAACAATACCAAACTGAAAATTCTCAAAGACAGAAACAAAAACATACCTATTCAAGACATGGTTAAATTCTGGTTTAATTGCCTTTAAGATAATAACGTATTTTATGATCTGGAAAATTTATATATTTTTGGAAAATTGGAAATCTATCGATCTATTCTATCATATCGATTTAGACATTAGATGTTAACCGTTGGTTCATTCATGTGGTTTAATGTAATCTTCCGATAGAAATCAAATATTCTTGTAGCAGTAAAAAAAGCCTTCGTAGGTCTCTAGTATCTCAACATCTCGACAGCAAATACCATAAAGATTGTCATTACAAAGTGAAATAAGAACAAGCTAACAAACACTTTTCTATTTATATCATTAGAACTACAAATTACCTAACCTAAATCTTAAGTCTTATGACAAAGATGTCATAAAACTAGTGTTGACCCTACCATTGCGCATTGGTTTGGGCCGCTCACAGCCGGGGCCGTTGCAAAACCGCCAAGTTGACGATTATAGCCGGATCGTAAAATAAACACGGCAACAGTGATTTATAACAGTTGTCAACAGCTGAGGAAAAACTTACTTTTTAATTCTACATTTTCAACGCTTTGATGATGAGCTATTGTTGAACGGCAACTAACTAGAAATAACGTGTTACATTACACGTGACCTCAGTGGAATTGTGAAATACTTAAAAAGGATAAATATAAATATCTAATTATAGTCTATTGTTAAGTTATATTCAAAAGGGCCACTTCAAATAAGTAACATATTATAGATATTGTTAAGATTAAATACCACGTGCGTCATTAACCATTCAAATGTGACAGAGACTCAAATAATAATACGCAATGATTTACCTATTTTCTGTAATATTTTAATGTTTCGTGTTAAACGTCGATTCACCTAGCAGAATACCTACGTGCTAAAATGCTCATAACGTTATACGTTTATCAGTAAGATCTTCGTGTATTTATCATTTGATAAGATGTTAGCTTTATTAAGCTGTCTTACTATAGTTAGTTATGATTATCATTACATTAAAATGTGTAAATGTCATTATAATATCATCAAAAACCCTGAATATGTACGCCGATATAATGGGGAATATTGCAATTATATTTTTATTATGTCACTGTACGGTGATAAAACATAAACGAAATTGACAAAAACATATACACTATTTTATTCAATTTATAACCATTCGATAGTGTGACGTCATGTACAATTGAAAAGCATCGCACGCAGCAAGAGAGCGACAACCTTACTTAAGTATTGAAAAAGCAAATACATGATAACAACTAAAAGTAAATTAAGAAATTGTGTTGTTCTCCGATTCTGTTAATGATATTTATAATTCAGTTATCAATTCAAAAAACACATTGATTATCAAAGATGACGAGCGATAACTTCAGTTAAATATAGTAAAAATGTGCATAAATGAATGCATAAAATAAAATACAATCTTATCACATTAGTTATTATACCCACTGATATAACAATGTATACTGACAATCGATATAAGTTTAATGGTCATTATCACTGATACTATGAACTACCGTGAAATCGACGCTGTTATAATTGTTATTAATATTTTTGTATGAATTAACCCGAGGGCAACCATGTTGGAACGCGGACGGACGACCGACCAAGTGCCCGCGCAGCAGTGCCGCTTTCCCGACTTTCCACGCTACCGCGCGTGCTGACGAAAACGCTTCATATCAGCAGACCTTAAATTTTCACTTGAAATAGTTACTTTCCTTATCGTCTGATAATATAAACGATACACGTAATATTACATAGAAGAGTAGGTAAATACCGAAGCTTATCAGGCATTTATGAAAGTAATAAAAAATAAATAAGTATAACTTTACTATATTCTCGTCCCTGTTTTGTAAATTTTATAATACCGACTCTTACTGCAGTTAGTAACATCCACCAATCTATACCGGAACTCATTCTCCCTATCCATGAAGACTACTTGTGCCGAACAGTGATGATGTATGTGGGTCGTTTAACACGCCATTGAGTTAACTTTTTTTGCAACCTAAATCAAGATGTATCGAAGGCAATTACATATATTCATATGCAATTGGAAAAATAAGATATTACATTCAAATCCCCATTGATAACAAACATCAATTACAAGTTACATCCATTCAATAACGTGTAAATTAAACAATGTGTTAAAGGCGTGCGAATTTTGTGTATAGGTATCGATACCGCCAGCAGCGCGTGTTTTGCAAGGACACGCCAGGACGAGTCATCCGTCCTCTACCGACCGCGTCATGCGCAGGTAGCGACCAGAGGACGACATGCCCATTGTTTATCGATGCTAATTATTATGCCCCAACGCAAACGTTTGCAGACCGCCGCGTCGTGTCTGTGTGTCGCTGCGCAAAAACTCAATAACCATGACGGTCTACCTGAGAATCATAGGATGATACTTTTATTATTCAGCGCATTATGATTACGATTTATCTACAATAACATCATCATCAAAAAATATCTCCTACTTTACAAGTTGATATTTTAAAGCTTTTTATATTTTCACGCCATTCGACTTTGATTATGGGACTAATCTCGATGACGACACAGTGCGCTGCAACTACCGCACTGGCAGTATCGCGCTCGATTGAGGACCGTTACGTGAAAACGTCGAGCGCGCGGGGCGGGGCAGAGTGCCGATACAGCGACTAGCGACGGTGGCGCCCGAGCGCGGCCGATCGCCGAGTGCCGAGACGATGTCGTACGAGCGGGGGAAGCGGGGGTGCGCCACTTTATCGCGACGAGCTGGCAACAACGCTCGCGGGGTGGGAGCGCCCCGCACCGCAACCTCTCACTCACCGTCGCCGGCTTGCTTTGCTATCGCCATCATCCAGTGTTACCTTTGACGGTCGAACGCATGGTCGTTCGTCGTCAGTGACGTCGGTGTCGACACTCGTGCAACACGTCTATAATGTTTCGGTGATTTTCAAAGTCGGATTCGTGAGTGGACGATAAGTCATTAACTCGTTACTACAAATATTGGAGCACAGTGACAAATACAAACAATCTACCCTGGATTTGGATGTTTTATGGATTGTGATAGTGACATTTTAGATTTTTTCCAAATCTAAACAGTGCAGTGAACCATCAAAAAGGATTGCAACTTAGTGATAAATATTGGATTTTAAAAGAAACAAGCTAAAGTGTTTTTCTGGGGATTGGAGCTGCATGAAGTGAATAATATAAAGTAAATAAAAGTGATTATATGAAAGTTTTAAACGTGTTATTTAAGTTTGGACGAGTTAACGAAATTTACTAAGTTTTTCGCAAGTCGATAAACTTATAAGTTTATTTGAAATTAATTAATAGATGGAACTGTTTGATAACTTGTCCAAATTACTCTGCTGGCACCTGTCGTAAAGCGCCAAGAGCGCACGTTGGATTTCGTCTCAGCTGATCAAGTGACAGATCTTCGAACCGTTCATCTGCGTGGATAAAATAGAAACGAAGTGATGAAATTCTTCTATATCATGATACGAACGAGAAAGTGGTTAAAATAAAAGTGCGTGAAATAGTGAAATATATCCGTAAGCTTTGGGAAAGTTACGGATTGCCTGTGAAATAAATTTATGACTAGTGGATTACACTTTTAAATTATTTAAATAGAAAAGTTCAAAACATTATTATAAACAAGAAACGCACGATGAACGTTTCGATGATTGTTGACGTTCAATAACGCTCAAGAATAGTTTACGCGCCACTTGATAACAGAAAATGTTACGCTCGCAGCTGACACGAATACAATAATGGCGTAAAATGAACGAAGATTTTTGTCGTTTTGATTGGCAACTAAAAAGGTGTCGGTTGTGTTCGTGAGATTTTTTTTCGTAAAAACTGGAACCTGTGGCGATCGAGTTTGGTTGGCTACAAAGAGATGGTGTTTCAGGGGGTGATTTAGAAACGTCAGGACGGCGCACGCTACTAGCACGGCCGGCTACGCAGGATCCTACAGCAGTTATCCAGGGGCTCAGGCTCCTGATACTGGCAAACACAACCCTCAACAAGGGACAATTGGATACAGACTCACCAACCCTAGGTAAGTACAGTTACTATTATAAAAAAAAATACAAACATTTTACTAACAATAAGACAAAGTAAAAAAATGGTATACCCGCTCTAAAAAATATGAACCGTGTAAATATTTGATAATACGTACAGTTTCATAACAAAATCAAATGAAATAAAAGTTTCCCACAATAACTAATTACCATTTTTTCACTGTTTAAATAGTGGAATTAATTTCGCAGCATTATTATTGTTTCAAAATTTTGTATTAGACAATTTTGAGAAATTTAAATTCGTACGCTTTTTATCTTTATCAGCACCTAATGTAGGTACTAAACCGCTTAGAAAATGTAGGATTGTAGGTAGGCTTGTAGTGTTTTTATCTTATCCGGAACAAGTTTGTTTACATTTTAACAAAACGTTGAAACGTGACTGGGTTTACCTGAACCGACTTATCATTGTTAACAAGCAATAATATCAAAAATTGTAGTCTAAATAATACAATCAGGAATAATAATCGATACAAAATTTTACTAAATTAATTTACTCTACTATTAAACGAAGCTTTAAAACGCGCCTAATAAACGCAAAGTTAATTCATACTCTGCAATCCATAAACGGAGGGTGATTTAAAAGCATACAAGTAAGTGTGACATTGTCGACCGCGCATCACTGCTATTATAAATGAAATGTCCTCTTTCATTCACACGCACAAACGCTTCAGGGCACTCAGCGCCCACACACACGCGCGTCTCGTTACTCACACCACCTTAAAGTCACGCACACACTCTTAAGTGCTCACTCACACGCCCAAACGGTGGGAATGCATTCGGTGACTGCACTTTAATGCTTACAATAAACACAAACAAACGTAAACTAGATATGTACATATAATCCATAGTGTTCAGGATTGAAAATATAAAATTGAAAAATTACGAATATGTTAACCGTCGTTCGTTATTGATAATTATTATGAACTTTAAATAAAAAAAATGAGCAGGTGCTAAGTCGAGCGCTCAACGGCTTTGTTTTGTAGTCACCTTTACAAACGAACGACATATTGTTGATGGCTGCCAGCGTCTATACAAAACCAATAAGTAAATAATAATAAAACGCGGGACCGACAACGAGATTGTGTGAACAGAACACAGGAAGTCTACCTCATTTCAAGGGTGGCTACAGTACGAACGTAAAATATTTGAACGGTCCTTCATTTAGGTACGATGTTTTAAAAGTAGTAAAACAAATGGATATGTTGTATCCTCGTACATATGCATTACATTACACAAATATACTGAGGAAAAATGTTAACTAATCATAATGATAATTTATTTTGATGAAAATTAAATAAGTAATTGTTTATTGCATAAAGCATGTTGTCAGGTAATTAGTACTTTTAAAAAAAAAATTTAGTAAATTCATATTTTGGGTTCTAATTCTGTGATCAAATAATAGTGACATCCATAACTTCAAAATGTTAAAAATGTTTCATTATTTAAATATATCAGCGACAAAATAAATTATTATCTGGAGCATTATAATGAAAATCCACATTGACGTGACTGTGCCCACTTACCCTAAGCGAACTTCTCCGACCCTTCCCCGTTCATTGTGCCGTATTTACCCCGGAACGCTCGCCTCCGTTCGTAACCCTCGGAATCCGCTCTCCGGAGCGTGATTCATTCTGTCTCGAACCCACAGTCAATTGATGTGAATTAGATATAAATCCAAATGAGTAATTAAGTGGCAATAGACATAGCTAAATTGTTTTAACTTTTTCTTTAGTTCAAGAAACATTTCAATAATGCGATACGTAAACCGAAAATGGACAAGCTATATAATGAATAATTTTTTGGGTGGGTTCAAATAAGAATATATATTTTAGGGTTAATTAGTTTACATCACACATCGATTTGTTAATAAAAACGTTGACGCTACTATATTCACAGCAATGTGCACTCAAGCCACAATGTGAAGTGGCATTTAAATGGGGGTGACCAACTGTCGGCCAAACACAGGGGTGGAACACGCCATGGCTTCACGGTGCCCTGATAGTAATCTATACAAGCCTCACAATTAATGCCTTATTTAACACTTAAAATGCATCAAGAAATTTGTTTCCAGTAACTTGAGAGCAATGACAAATTATTAAATAAAACTATTAAAATCGAATTAATCAATCTGCACGAATGAATTCGATTCGGCTACCTGGCAAAGGTAGAATATTCAAAGAAATTATTCCTTTACTCAGTGCACGATTATCTTCTCTGCCAATTAAACAAGGAATCCAACACGTCTGCGCAGCTATCTAAAATTAACTGCAGCCAATGTATCAAAATACCAACGCGTTACTCGCACATCTCTCAATAGTATGCCAAACACCTTCCAGCTTCTCAAAATAGCTCAATACTCATTCATATTTAAATATTTTCTAAACCAAGATAAATAATCTTAAAAACTCTCAAGGTAAAACTATATAATTAAAAATGTAAGCAGACTTGTAGACGTCGCGTATTTGGTCTTGTATACTCTCTAAGATATTAGATACTTCAAAGTTTGTTCCAAGAATTATCGCAAAAGGAATGCCTGCCTGCGTCAAGCGGTCGCATTCATAATCCCAAATATTTTGAACGGACCGTAAATGATTATACGGATGTGGTACCACTTTAACAAAAAGTGCGCTAGAAAAGAGAACACACTTTTTTTGTCAGCTTCACATTCGGTCGGCAAAAGGAAAAAAGGAACAGACAAAGCTATAAAAGAAGTGCAGATCGAACAGAGTTTACCTAAGGAAAGACCCTTGTAAATCATCTACGAAGGCGATGAATAGAGGCCACGTAGCGTATAGCATTGTTGACTTATTTTGTTTATCGATTGTCGACGCTACTAAGTGTCTCTTAAACTATTTAAACAAAATAGGATAAATATCAAAAGGGCGTAAATTTTGTTAAATTAGTTTAAACATAGTAATTTCTGTAAAAAAAAAATTTAAATCACTTTGTTTATAATTTTACAAGTAGGTAATATTCTCATAATGATTTAAGTTAGATATCAAAATATGGTTGTTGTTTGTTGTTGCGCAAGCGAATTTGCATAAATAAAAAAAATATTATACATAGGAATAAATACACAATACCTCAATATTGTTGCACTACTACATACGCGATATAACAATGGATAGCCAGTGCGAGTGTTTGTCATGCATTTGTCGAATAGGAATTATTAGAAAGGGCCCCGGTTCGGCCCGGGAATTCGCCCCAAAAGCCGTTCACATGAATCGAGCTCCCACTCTGCGGCGCCATACAAAAAATCAAACACATCCCGAGAGAAACACAGGGGTAACAGTGCGTCACTATACATCTATATTGATTTTTTTTCTCATTGTTAGTAAAATAATAAAATCTCGGTACACAGTAAAAAAAGATCTTGCGCTTATAGAATTTGGGTCGTATATTGAGTCTGAGTTTATTAATAATCGAAGCGTTAACGTGTGGAATGTTCGACTCTGCAAGGCCGCTTGCAAATAAACTGCTTATATCGTGAGTGAAATAAAATTAACTAGACCGATTTCACATTCAAAACCTACTTGCTCTATAACTACGACTACCGACGATTTGCTGTGAAATCAAATAACCGTTGATAATTTAAGCTTAGCTCTGGTCGAACCGTGTAACCAAATAGTAAATATTTAAATCGTACACAATAAACCCTTAAAATAATATTAAGATAATAACAACACCTTTACAGTACTGATTTTAAGTAATTTCAAATTTTAATTATTTTACATGTATATCTCAACTATATTGCGATATCCACATCTCACATTACAAAAATTATATAGTAGGTATTGATAAATGAAGTTGAGATACTTGATCAGAAAAATAAAGAATATTTAAGAAATTGTATAGGAGGGTATTTTATATTCGGTTAACATTCAAACCTGCCATGATTTATGACTAAAATTATCTGCAGAATAATAGTAATTAGATTTGTATTGTTTGAACAGCGGCTATGGGAACGCCGGCGGTTCGGGCGCGATGAGCGGCGGGGGCGAGAACGCGCAGTTCGGCGCCACCGCCGCAATGGTCGCCGCGGCCACAACGGCCGCGATGCAGGACTCGCAGCCTTTTTCTCAGGTTTGTATTTACCAAAAACTAAAATATGACATCTATCAATCCTCCTAACAACAAATATTCCTCCTCCTACTACTACATCCACTTTTCTACAAATCCAACAAAATAACAATTCTGTAAGAGTTAAATTTTGTTACAAAATATATATATTTTTACAGATGCAAAACAACATGACTATGGGTAATCCCCAGTATGGCGCAATGAATGGTTATGGACAACAACGAAGTCATAACCCCGCCATGACAGGAATGGGGATGGGAGGGAACGGAGGAATGAACGGAATGACCGGAATTAGTCAAATGGGTAACGCCGGTATGAACGGCATGAACCCAATGGCGCAGATGGCCAACATGGGTATGCACGCAAACATGATGCCGTCTCAAATGGGACCAAATCAGATGACTGGAACAGCAAAAATGGCTCCAGGTTACCGACAACGACACACGCCTTATCCAACACAAAATACAATGATGATGGGGAGAAAAGCGCAGTATATAGGTGGGCAACCAGGATTTGGCCCCGGACAATATCCTGCAACCTACGGCGGCAGGCCAGGCTTCCAAGGACAATATCCGCCTCAACAACCCTTAGGGCCATCAGGAAACTTTGGTGCAACGATGAGAGGGAATATGAGGCAATCTACACCTCCTTACTCTAACCAGGGCCAATATTTTAATGGTGGTGTGCCAGCGCAATTTCCACAACACCCGGGTAGTAATGGACAGTATGGAGGACAATACGGCGGACAATTTGCACAGGAAGTCGCGATGCGAACTAATATGAGTTACCAGCACAGTCCAGTGCCTGGAAATCCCACTCCTCCGTTAACGCCGGCTAGTAGCATGCCGCCTTATATCAGCCCTAACGCTGATGTTAAACCCCACTTCAACGAACTGAAGCCTCAGATGGGCATGCAAAGTAAGTATTTCTATAACATACACTTGACGTTGTGTCATTATGTTATTTGTTTATTTCTATATTTATTTAACTTTTTTTTCTCTTTTTAAGATGATGAGCTCCGGTTAACATTCCCCGTAAGAGATGGTATTATACTGCCACCATTTAGACTAGAACATAATTTAGCAGTTAGCAACCATGTATTCCAATTAAAGCAAACAGTCCACTCAACTTTGCTGTGGCGGTAAGTAATCATATAAAACAGTCCTATAAATAACATTGTTACTAAATAATATAAACACGATATTCAAATATTTATTTGTGTTTTCTGCAGATCCGATCTTGAATTACAACTAAAATGCTTCCACCATGAAGATCGACAAATGAACACGAATTGGCCAGCAAGCGTTCAAGTATCGGTGAATGCGACGCCATTAGTCATAGATAGAGGCGAAAACAAAACATCCCACAAACCATTGTACCTGAAAGATGTATGCCAGCCTGGAAGAAATACGATTCAAATCACAGTTTCTGCCTGTTGTTGTGTAAATATTTTTTTTATTAGTACTGCTAATATATTTATATTATATAAACCTGAACGATTTCAAATACTCATTTTACAATCACTACTTATTATCTGAATATTAACGGTTTATTTGTTCTTTCAGTCACACCTATTTGTTCTCCAACTAGTTCACCGACCGAGCGTAAGAAGCGTTCTTCATGGACTATTAAGGAAAAGACTTTTGACAGCGGACCATTGTATCGCCAAAATTAAGATGAACTTCAATCAAGCACCAAATAACAACAGTGGTTCTAACACCGCGAATGATAGGGACAGCGTCGAGCAAACAGCCTTAAAAGTATCCTTAAAATGTCCCATAACGTTCAAGAAGATCACACTACCTGCGCGAGGGCACGAATGCAAACACATACAGTGTTTTGATTTAGAATCATATTTGCAACTTAATTGCGAGAGGGGATCGTGGAGATGTCCAGTTTGCAAGTAAGCTAATCATGATACATTATTATTGGCCTCTATAACAGTTTTCAATGGTGAACTTCAAAACTTTTAATTTATTATTGAGATAGAATTTACCATTTGTTACAAATACTTTAAATTAAACTATGGAAGTTGTTTGCTTAATGCAATTGTCCTTTTTTATAGTAAACCAGCGCAGTTGGAAGGTCTCGAAGTTGATCAGTACATGTGGGGCATACTAAATACGTTAAACACCACTGATGTTGACGAAGTGACAATCGATAGTGGTGCTAATTGGAAAGCTGCTAAGAGTCCTACAAACAGTGGTATAAAGGTAATAACTTTAATCAATTTATAGAATGACAATTGTGCTTTTTTAACAAAGCATTAGTTTTTTTTTTAAACACCTCCTTAATTTACAATTAATTAAATCCGATTATTTTTTTTTCCAGCAAGAGGAAGATAGTAATGACAACAGTTTAGGTAAAAGAGGCAAAGCAGTATCACCTGGATCAATGAATATGCCAACAATGAACAACTGGGACATGAATCAGGCTTTATCGCCCTACCTTCCTCCTGATATGAACACGATTGCCAGCGGCTCAATGATCTCTTCATACAACCAAAGTAGCCAAAACAGAAATGCAGGATCTAATAACCAGAACTATGATTTTGGCATGAACAACGGACCTGGTAGTAATGAATTTGCTGGCAATGGTCCACTGTCCCATCTTAACGATAGCGTCAACTCATTAGATCCATTAAACGCGATGGAAAAGAGTCTAAATGAACAGGTAAAACATTTTGCATAAATTATTAATAATTTTGTGTATTATTATTTTTTACTTGTCTTGTAGTTTCAAAGCGATTCGCAACTCTTTAATACAAAATAATAAGCTAGAGTCATTTAATCATCTTTGGAAGCCTGATATGAAATTAACTCCGAATGACTTATTCTTTCCAGATGCCACATACACCGCACACGCCGCATACACCAGGTTCAGCGCATACACCGGGTGGAGGCGGCGCTCATACGCCTGGTTCCTCACACACGCCAGGCCCACCGTCTGTTGGTCACCACAGTCTTACCGACGTTGACATTCCCGCCGACCTTAACTTTGACCCGGCGGCTGTTATCGACGGCGAGGGCACCGACAATCTCAATGTAAGTTTACGGCTGAGTAATATTTTCTTTTTGTTGAAATTCGACCTTTTTTTGCTTTAGTTCCTCATGACATGAACTCATTTGTGTTATATCCATTACAGCTGCTGCCAGAAACGAGTGTCGATCCGATGGAATTACTGTCGTATCTAGACGCGCCGGCGCTGGGTGAATTACTTGCAACTCCACCCTCGTCATCTTCCTCAGCTGGCTCTCACCCACCACGCGCGCCTTCCTCAGACGATCTCCTAGCCCTCTTCGAGTGAACACCGACAAAAACGAGTGTACGTAACGGGAACATCAAACCTCCAAAGTGGCAAAATGTCAATTAATACTAACAGCAAAACAGACTTTATTCATATTGGATGGAAAATATTACCTACATTTAACAGAAAGCATACTCGTTACGCACATGAATGTACAGTCTGTGTTCGTGAGGCGTTAGTTAAACTCGCTTTCAGGCCAGAGATGCCCTATATTGTGATACTAGATTTTAGTTCCTTCTCCGTTTGCGAGCGTGTTGAACATTGCAGATATAACCATTTTCCCCATACACGAGTGCTGTTCATCATCAGCTGGAATGTTTAACGCGATACGTAATCCGTCTATTGCTGAAGCAATGATGTTGGAGAACATTTATTAGGTATATAGGTAAAGTATTCAGGCGAGGCGTGGGCCGCGCTGGCCATAGACACTGCGGTGTTGTGCATGTATAGTTCCTCGCACCGCCGCGCACGGTGGCGCTACTGAGCTCCTTATATTCTAAACTCTAGCATAAACTGAGACACAAATTTCACTAAAAATTATTTCAACTTCGTATTCGAAATATTATTATAATCGATTTAGAGTCGTTAGATTTGTGTCAATAATAATTTGTGAATAAACGCCAGATGTAAATAGAGAGAATTTATATTATTTGTGCTAGGTGGTTTAGACTTTAGTTTGTACCGAGAGAGGCCATAATAGGTGTTTGTAAATATAGAATAGGCACTGCGGAGGCCACTCAGAGGCATTATGAATCTTATAGTTCCTATTGGATGCGAGCGAACTATAATGTTCAACTGCCATTACTGTAACATATTCCTTGACATTTTCGCATATTCTGCATTTTTTAAAGTAAGGAAATAGGATTAGTGAGTATAGCGCTACTCGCATAATGGGTGATATAATCTAATGAGTTGTTTGAAATCAACAAATTAAATGGTAACAAATTAGTTACAAATTATATTGTAAATGTGAGTGCAAAAATGAACTCTGTTAAATTATTTTGCGTTATGTGAATTGAAGAATGATAGAATATATTTTAATTTCTATATAAATAATAACGAACTGTATTATTTGTAAATATAAAGTTAATTAAGCATATTATATTACCTAGTTGTATTTAAGAGAACATGGCAGATACTTATATGACGGCCAGTTTAGTATAGTATTACTAAAAAATTTTAAAATCTACACATGGTTTTACATGTATATAATACGAGAAATACATTCTAAATGAAAGGAAACATTCAGAGTATGGACATCAATTAGAACTCGTGAAATACAAAGAACATTGCTTCGGTTTTGCATTTTTGCTATTTCAGTAGTTAATATAAAGCAATAAACATTAGCTTTGTTAAATAAATCTTTCGGAATAATTAATACAAATAAGGAACTGCAAATTCAAAATTAATAATTAAACATTTTTTTTTATCTCAATAAAATAATAAGTTAAAATCAGAAAAGAAAAATTATTGTATCCAAAACGATAGAAGAAAGTATTCCATATCTGACTCTGACTTCTCGAACCTAGGTTGACAATTAAATGTACAGACCCAATACACCTATATACAGTCTTTTATTATATCAATAAATATGTATATAAATTTAAACAAATAAATTCTTCAACAAAGCATTGTATATTAAATATACCAGATTACTTTAAAAGTCTATACTCTGATGAAATCCTAAACAAAGCAAAAAATTGCTATGATAAAGTTGTCATTCATGTCTGCTCATCTTGATTTTTCAGGCATATTCATCACTTTCTAATATGTTACAGTCTTTTTATTTAATAATACAATGGAATAAAATTAACTTATAATTGAATTGTTCACATATTATGATAAAAATCAAAGCATAAAATAAAATGGAAGCTTAAAAAATTGTGATGAGCATTGAATTGACAGTATCTTATTTCACATATTTTCAAATGTATTACTTAGTTTTACTCATGACATGATGTGCTATGTCACAAGTCTAGGATATATATAATATAATTTATAATATAAATTTATTATGTATACTTAGGTAAGCACTGTCAACTGTCATGAAAATCCTAAATGGAATTAAGTTCCCAAAAATTAAATCATTGCTCCATAATTCATTTAGATGTTGTAAAAGTATCAAACTTTACTGTTAATAAGATTTAAATAACAGTTGGATAAAGTTATCTCTAACTTAGAGTTATATGTAAAACTGTCAATCCTCTTGTCACTAACTTATGTAAAAATTGGTAATTTGCGCATCTTTACTTCATGCTATGAATACGGAAGCCTCTTTAGAGTTAGTCAATCTATTACGAAAAACAATAAAATTAGTGTTATAAAAAGCCGTGGTCAATTATTCAGACAAAAAGTGTGCAATCAAAAGGCATTGCCCAGTTATCATTTCTTGTTACTCGATAATTTGTCATGGATGTCTAGTTGATCACAGCTTTATCATAAAATATGTACTTTAAGGGACCTTCAATTCCAGTTAGCTAGTTCTATTTATTGTAGTGACTATTGCTGTTGGATGGATCACCATAACGATTTTTGTGAGACCAAATAGTACTTTTATACAAATGTACCTATTTTAGGTAATTATAATAACGAATTTGTTTATAATAAAAACGAAAATATCACAAAAAATGTCTAGCATATCAGATTATAACTCAAAAACCGATTTGTATGATCCATCCAAATGAGTAAATGATTACAATATATTTTGTTGAAATTTGTATTAAACACAACAGCTGTGGAGTAGTAGATTTTGTGCTCGGACAAATATTAAGCAGCATTTGGAAATAAGTGAAAGAAGAATTCTAAACAATAAGATTATCTGATTTCCATGACTCATTTAATGCAAAGCCAAAATGTACGGTAGTTTAAATTTTCAACTTATTTGAACATTTTAGCATTCTGATTTATACCCACTGAAATATTATGTTTCGAAATGTGTAAAATGGAAAAGAACATAACATTTTTATGTTATTGAAAATAAAATGAATCTAAAAATTATGCATGGTTTTTATTTATTTCTGATATTAACTACATTAAATAGCTATTTGAGTCTATCTAATAAACTATAGCTCCACACTAAAGGAATATCTGGTATTGCATATCATAAGTAAGTATGAGGCTTTACATAATATAAATAATAACAGAAAACGTTTTATTAAGTACCAAGAATAAAGCACATTTAGTTAAACTTTATATCTAAGCCCATTTAATACGTTTTCAATTTGACTGTTTTCTTGTATCTGTTTGCACTTTTTTTTTGTTTCAGAGAGTATATCTTCAAAATAATATCACTAAAATTGACGAAATTAGATTAGTAGTTTTGTTTTAATATAAAAAAATCTTGCTATGGTGGTCGTCACATAGGAACTCTAAAATAAAAATGTTTATATAAATAATCCTTATTATGACAGATTCAAGCTTTGTTGAGGAGAACATTACACAAAATATGAATAGTAGTACACTGCATCGTCAATATCATTTACTTTAAATATGGAAACGCAATAGTAATGTTTAACGAATACTTTTTGCAATAAATAAAAAACAAAAGCACTAAAAAGTACCTCCACTAGATGGCGACTCTAGCAAAAGTTGATTCAGAGTAGTGTAATATAAAAAGGAAAAGAGTAGCAACTCTACGGAAAATTTTGCATGTATGAAAAGTACTGCCCCAGCTGGAGTTTGGTTAGTGAACTATTTTTGCCAACTATACTATACATAGCTTTTACGTAAAGATATATTTTTGTATACTTGCGTATATATAGGTATTATCTATAGCCATTCTTAACTTCGTATTTATGGTCGAGAAGTAATTATTTGAGAAATTATGTCTATTGGCAAAAAATAAGTAAAAAAATAATGTGTATAAGTATACCTTTATTAAATATTACATTACTTCTTAGTGGCATAACTTTTATGTTTATTATAATACTCTGTAGCCGCTTTTTTTATTTTAGCGTCTCCTTGGTAGGACATTTTTCCATGTAATATTCTATTTATTGCTCTGCACCAGCTATAAATAATTATGTCTATAGATAAATCAGTGAAATATTTGGTGATGCTATCTTTATGTTTATCACAATTTAAAAAAGCAAAATCTGAAATCATTTCTAAAAATGATTTGATTCAACGTTTTAAAAATCTTTCATGGCAATTACTATTGAAAAATGCATAATCATCTGATACATCTATAAATCATCTGACCGATAAAAAAGCCACATTTTATTGGTTTTGTATTCTTTGGCTTTAATGTATCGGTTTGTTTCCTTATCTGCGAGACCTAGTAACTTACTTTTACAATTTTTACAACCTTTAACATTTTTTTGCAGACATTTGGCTAAAGCCCACCCACAAACATATGTTCTTTGATCAGCCCCTGCATCTGAAATGCTTTTATAATTTTGTATAACATTCAAAGCTTGATCTAAAACGATAGTATGAGACTGTGAGGGAGCATCACTTATATTCTTATTCTTTAGGTAGAATTTCAGAGATTTGAGACATTTATTTGTATCTTCTTTGCAATTACAATTAATAGAATGGTCACTGCTATAATTGTTGAGTAATAGTAAAACTTGTTCATTTATACCTGGTGACAATTTAATTTGAGCAAGTAAAGATTTTAAGATTTTAAAACTTTTTGAGATGGAAAAGTGAAATGCTTACACATCAGTTTATAAGCCTTAGGACTTTTTTATACAATAAAGACTGCGGGGCTATTCACTACCTTAATTTTAATACTAATCACAGAATGGTGAGATGTAAATTAAAGATGGAAAAACAAAAATTTCAAGAAACTTTGCAAGACAAAAATTTCATAATAAAGCTACACCCTGGCAGCAGAAACTAAATCAACCAATGGGAAATTATCTAAAAGGTATACTTTCAGACCCACAAACCACAATCCAGAATAAATACGACTCCCTTATTACAAAGTACTCCAGCCATATGAAAACGCAGCATCAATCAACAGCTTCACATCTTTCCAACAACACAAAGGATCTTTGCAATAAACATTTGAGTATTGAGTATTGAGTATCTTCTATACAGAAGATCCTTGCTAATCAAATGCAAAAACAAGACCGGCGAGATACGCAAACAAATAGCCAAAATCAACAAGGATATCAATTCAAGCATGAGACAGGATACAAGACAACATCGTATGAAAATATTCGAAGACAGAATAAAGGCTACAGATGGTGTAAAGAGTGCTTGGAAGTCTCTGGAAAGAACAAAGGAATGGATACCATCTCTCAAGAACTCATCAGGTAAAGATAAAAGAAAGCGACCAGACTTAATTGAAATTGCCACAAAATTTTACCAGACACTCTACACAAAGCAAGACATAACTTCAGACGAGCAACATCATACATTTCCTTCAGAAGAGGTTCCGGCCATACTTGCCAGTGAAGTACAAAAAAGCAATTGAATCACAGAAGAAAGGCAAGGCTACAAGCTCTGATAAAATAAGCAATGAATTTCTGTTGGCAAATAAAGATTTAATAATTTTCAGACTGTGCTAACAATCTACAAAAAATGGTAGAAGAGCTTAATGAGCGAAGCAGAAAAGTGGGGTTAACCATGAATATGTCCAAAACCAAGGCCATGACGCATACAATTAAACTTCCAATTTTGGTGAGGAAAGACAAAATAGAATATTGTAGACGAATATAAGTGCTTGGGACAAATCATCTCACCACAAGACATGACAGATAAAGAAATCGAAACAAGAATTAGTGGGGCCTGGAAAAGCTACTGGTCACTAAAGGAAGTCATGAAAAATAAAACATTCCCAGTTAGCTTAAAGCGTAAACTCTTCAATGCTGGCATACTGCCCATTCTTACGTATGGATGCGAAACATGGTCACTTAATAGATCCCATCTGCTAAAAATAAGGACTTGCCAAAGAGCGATGGAAAGAAGCATGCTAAGTATTACGAAAATGCAAAAATTAAGGCATTCCAAATTAGAGCAAAGACCAAACTGATTGATGTCACTGTAAAGGTTATAAAAGGAAAGTGGAGATGGGCAGGTAATGTTATAAGAGGCATAGAAAAGTGGAGCAAAACAATACTAAATTGGATACCCAGAGATAGGAAAAGGAGGAGAGGGAGGCAGTGGAGACGATGGAAAGATGAACTAGCAAAAACTGCAGGAGTGACATGGACTAGATTGACAGCAAATAAGAAAAAATGGGAAAAATTGGGGGAGGCCTATGTTAAAAGACAAACAAAGATAACCGACAAAACAATAAATATTGACATATTAAATCTAACATTGACATAAATTAATAATTCAATTCAATATCCTCATATATCAGCATTTATTAAATATTGTAACTAAACAAGATATTTGTGTAATGAAAGAATGAAATTGTATTAATTAAAAGTATAATTGACATGTGAATTTAATGGTTCTCTGAATAAAGGCTTATTATTATTAAATTAAGCTTT